CTGTACCCCATCCTCCCCCCAACACTCCAACACCCCCCTGTACCCCCACATCCTGCACCCTGCTCCCCATCACCCCAAGCACCCCAACACCCATCTGCCCCCACAACCTGCACCCCATCATTCCCCTTCCATGGCACCCCAACCTGCCCCCCAAACCCACCTCCCTGGCTCCTCTTCCCCCCCCCAGCTTGCTGTAGCCAACACCTCCCACCCCCCCGAAGCCCCAATACCATCCCCCTGCGGCGGGGGGTGAAGCTCCGCCGAGAAGAGCTGCCCCTACCTATGGCGTAGCCAGCCAGCAGGAATCCAGCCGACCCCACCAGCACCTGGAACTCCTCCGTCCGGGTCTTGTGGACAATCAGCCCCAGGCGGGTAATCTGGGGAGACACAGCGCGTCCTGCCGGGAGCCAGCAACACCCTGGGTGCCACGGGCCCCAAGCACCATGGTGGAGCTGTGGGCACCGTGCGCTGGGCAGGCTCCAGAAGGCCAGCTGGGGCACCAGCTAAGCCACCAAGCCAACCAGCCTAGGTCCGCTACACCCATGGGGTAGGCCCTACACAAACACCCCCCACACGGAGTAACAGGCTCCACCCCAGAGCAGCACTGGGAGATTCTACAGGGATTGGGGGGAGGGGGCAGAGAGAGTGTGTGTGTGTGTGTGTGTGTCAGGACTCCTGGGTTCTTGGCCGTGGGGGGAGTTCCTTCCCCACACTGTGTCATGCCTCAGTTTCCCCACCTGTCTGCTGGGGGAGCTGGCCCTGATACCTGCTTGGGGGTGTGTGTGTCTGTAATGCACTTTGGCTGCAGGGAGGGGTGATGGCACTGCTGGGGGGAGGAACGTGGGGTGGGGAAGAGCGATGGGGGCTGGGCCCTGCCAGTGTGAAGGCCTCAGCCTGAGGGGACCTCAGCGGGGTCCAAAGGTCTCACCCAACAGCCACTCGGGCTGTGCTGGTGCCCGGCTGGCAGAGCCACTGCCCTGGCCCCAGAACCACAGGGTGCTCCGAGCTGCCCCCAGCACAGCCGCCCCGACTCACCCCCTACCCGAGTGCAGGGAGCCCCCTCCCCAGTCTCCCAGAATCGGGTCAGCCAGGCGAGCCCCTGGCCCAGTGCCGGGGTGAAGGGCCCCTGGGTGCACCCTCTCCCGAGGCGGGAGGCTTGGAGCCCACAGGGCTGAGCCAGGCAGGAGCACGGGGGGGTGAGGGCTCCCTGGGGTGGCTAGGCTCAGACATGGCCCCTGCTCCCCCACTCACATCACCCCCGCTGTCCTTGAGGCCCGCGATGTTGGGGTGCTGCGACAGGGTGAGCACGGCCTCCAGTGGCAGCTCCAGGCCGGTGTTGGCTGGGACGCTGTACAGCACCACAGGGATCGGCGACGCATCTGCCACCTGCAGACACAGAAAGGGGCGCTGGGCATGGGCCCGTAGGACGGGAACACAGCCTGCGGCCAACCGAGACCCCCTGCTAGGCAAGGCACTCTCCCTGCATCAGTGTCTGTGTAGGGCCTACATAAACAACCACCATTTTGGTTTGTGTGGGGCCTACATAAGCAATGGGGTTGAATTTCACTCTCCCGTGCCCCGTCCCCTCCCCCAATCTCAGCCCCTGTCACCAAACCCAGGGGGTTTGACGGAGCTGACGGTGTTGTGTGTAGCGTGTCACGTCATGCTCCCTCAGCTCCCCCCGATCACTGCCCCGCCCCCAAGGTTCCTCACCCCCCACCCCAGAGCCACTGGGCTCTTTGCTCCCTCCCCCCAGGAAGAGGCATGCGGTCACTGCGGGGCAGGGTTGCCAGGTGTCTGGTTTTCGACCCTG